ATATGTTTTTAGCGTGAAACAAAAATGATAAAGTATTCTTATTCAAGTAAAATTCTGCAAAGAAGTTTCGTTTTTATGAAAGTAATTTAAAAAATTAAATACAGGTTGTAATGTTTACAGTGGATTGATTACATTTGTTTTTGGACGCTTGCATTGCTGAATTTTATTTTCACATTATCTTGTTCTAGAGATCGAAGTATAGATGTCAGAGATTTTCTGATACCTTATTTTTTGGTCTATTTAAAGTCTTGCTTGTTGCAAAACAAATATCATCAAAATATTCCTTGATATAAAATTATTTGTTCAAAAAGTGTTAAACAGTAACTCACATAGTAATTCGGACTGTTGTAGGAAGTAAAGAGGAAGTATTGTAATCGCGAAAAATTTCGGGCCATTTTGACGGGAAATAAACGAAATATCCATTTTGGCAGCTATCGAATGCAATTTAGCGATGTTTTTGTGTGACATCTGTAAGTACGGACAGCATAAAGGACTCGTTTTCCCTAAACGAATTACAAAATTGATTTAAAATGGATTCAGAAGAGACTTTTTTCGTGGCGTTTGTACGTCCGTCCGTATGTATGTACGTGTGAATGTATCTCGCATAACTCAAAAACGAGTTGCTTCAGAAGGTTAAAATTTTGTATGTAGAACTGCTATAACAAATAGATGTGCATCTCCTATTTTGGTTGCAATAGGCTGCACCAAAAGAACTCAATTTCGCACTAAGTGAATTTAAGACCATACAACATTTGATATGTATATATTAGATATATATACACTCTGTTACAGTGAGCTCAGTTTCTTTATTTTTATGTGTCTGTAAATTCTTCATTTTTTGCTTTTAAATTGATTGAATTATATTTTTCTAATCTTCCGGTTAAGGTTTTTATGCCTTTAGTTAACCTGCATGTTATAGTTGTAGAATTATCAACAATTTAAAAATTGTTTAAGTGCAGACTAAGCCTATCTTTTTTTTACATATTTGTCATATTTGTTTACATTTGAAACTTAGCAGAATAGTGGATTTGTTACCATTCTAGAGAAATTAAGCTTCGCAACAACAAAATAACGTCTTCTTTTATTATTGCGAATTAAGTTATGCTTAATCCATTCTGAAGTTAATATTTAAATTATTAAATTATCTCATATATTGACTCAGTATAGCGTCCACAACAAATTAAATCAGTTTCTACGTATCTTTTTGCCGAGTGAGATCAAAAGTAAACTTTCAGTTTTGTGCTCCGAAAAATCTGCCCTCTTGCCCCTGACCGAATTGCTTGTTTTTGCGCAGAAACTCTAATTTTAATTGTAAAAAAAAAAAATTTAAAATTGTTTTAACTGTATTTCGTGTTTTATGTTTTTCTATATCTTTCAATTTTTAATATAGATATTTTGAGTTTTTATGTATTTTTGCCTTGTCTCGAAGTGAGAACTTAATTAATTGAATGAGAAATATATCTCTAATGAAAAATTCGAGGAAATAAGTTGAAAGGAAAGGCAGGAAAAAATGCGTATAATTTAATATTTCGTTCAAGACAGTCATCACATGAGACTTTTGTTTTAAATGAAAATAAATCACAAGAATTACCATCAGCATTCGGAAATTATTCCTTGTTTAGCAAAATCGTTTCCATATCTGAACTGAACATCGCAAATGAACAAGTTCTGTAAGAAATTTGATTATTTATCGTGGAAAAAATTGTAAAAGTATTCGAAATATCCCCAAAAGTATTTGATATAAAGCGTTCAACTATCTTTAATGATATGAAATTACAGAAATTGCTTGGAAGTGTTGAAAATATATTAAAGTGAAGATCATATTCAGGTAACACGTAGAAATCCTGAAACTACCAAAAAATGCATTACGGCATATTGATACTGGGCGATTAGCTAGAAGATAATTTTTCGTTCACAAGAAAACGAAGAAAATACGCCTGGCTTTCACAGAACCCATGGCTAGCAGAGATTTATCAAACAGAATAATTTTATGTTTTCAGACAAGTCGAAATTTAATATATTTGGATCCAGTGTACAAATTATTGTTTAGCGAAAGTCTAGTGAAGTATTGAATCCCAAAACCCTATCGCCTGCTGCTAAACGCGGGGATAAAGGCGTAATAATATGGGGATATTTCGCTGCTTCTGGGATGAGAAATTTGGTTTTTATAGAAAGTATTATGAATCACTCATATAAATATTTTTAATGAAAACCTGAACGCATCCGCAAGGACAGTCGGAATTCAATGTAGATTCAAGCTTCCTCAGGATAGCGATCCTAAACATACCGCCTTTAATGTTCGCTTATTATTATTATACATTTGTCCTGAAATTACCAAACCTTTTCCATATTTTGAGGACTTAAATCCTTCGAGTATGCAAGGAGTTAGTTAAAGAAAAGAATAATGAACAGGATATTTCTTCGAAAGCTCTCTTAAAAGCAATTCTTACAGTGGAATGGAATATTAACGAGAAACTCAAATTAACCCAAGCCCAAAGCGTATGAAAAGTGCAGTTTTAGCTAAAAGATATCCAATGAAATATTCAATGTCTCTTTATTTTCATGTTTTAATTCAATATAAATTGAAGTGTCCGAATATTTATGGGGGTTCAATTTCAGAACTTTCCAAATAAATTATTTTATTTAAAAAAAACATTTAGAATTTTTTTTTTTTTCCCAAAACAAGCAGGTTTTAAAAATGATTCATAGTGTATGTAAAAGAGAAATAGTCATTTTTCTAATATTTAGTAACTGATGGTCGCAAATAAAACTGAAAAATACAGTGTGCGGAAACAAGTGTGAACCACTGTATATAATTTTTACGAAAACATGGATTAAATCGTCGAAAAAATGTAGAAACACATGAATTGAAAGTTTAGTTTTTCTTGGTCTAGGTTTAAAAAAAAAAGATTCTGATAGCTGGAGTTTCGGTTCTTGATAACAGAAGTTCGAAAACATATTATTACGTGATTTATAGTCAAGCTCGATTTCTGATGTAGACGTAACGTAACAGAGTTAGCGAGAAATTCCGCCCATGTAAGCCCAATGTGGGAAACGTCAAGGTTCATTTGCAGTCAGCTATAGAATTCTGAGTTGTTTTTCTGAAAATATTTGTTTTCATCGTGTAGTTATTAATCATAAAAACGTTTCGAGGATGTCTATATCATTAATATGATGTGCGTGTTCCAATTTTCAACATATTCTTTTTCTTGCTGTTTATTTCACCAAGGCATTTCTCTTGTATTATATTCCATTTAATGATGATATGAATCTGAATGAACCTCATAATACGTGTAAGCCTTTTATGTAACGCAAGTTAATGGTTTTTAGATAACATGAGTTTCCTCTAAAGTTTTACGTGTTGTGTTTTCAATAAATTCTTTATTGTGATTGCTTTACGTTTTATTGCAACTGTATATAATGCAAAGTTAAAATGGACTTATTATTTTATTTACTATATTATGATTATTTACTAGCAAGAAAACCCTCTCATTATTTGCTTTAAATCATATATTTTAAGTAATTTGACATTAATTGTGTGCGAAACAATGGAAAACGAAAAAGAAGGCTTTTTTAGGTGGATAAATAATCCTTATTTCAACTGGAAATTTTCTATTCGGATACCTTTCAATAATTCTATTTGGATCAAATGGTCATGAAAAATTAGTTTGCCCTTAATAGCTCAACGAAGTACGCTCACGATGAAACACAAACTTTTAAGAATTAATCAACATAATAATGAATGTATTTTATTACAAACTGTGGAAGCAGAATCACTTAGCGAATTGCATGAGGTTCTGGAGTATTATATTTTTTAAATAGATTTAATGCTAGTTCAACTCTGAAAAGTTCTCGCTTTTTGCTTTCATTTAAGATGCAAAATTTAAAAATAATTTAGTCGCGATTATTCTTTAAGAATCGAAGTAGTCCTATTTCAAGATAACAACACCGAATTACAATCAAATAAAAATATTTTTAGTCCAAAGGGATTTGAATCCCGAAGGACTATTAGTTTCGTTTTGGCATTTTGCGTCGGACTCTGTAGCAATCTGTAGCAATCTTGCTTTTGAGCAAGAAGAAAGGAGGTGAGGACTTTGACGAACGCCGTTTCCTCCAGTCCGTGAGGGCGTCGGACTCATAAATGTCGGTTCACTTTTCAAACTGTTGCCACAAAATGTTAGAGTCCTGCATTATATTTGAAGAAATTAAATAATGAAAAATCTGCATAAATGTATGTATATTTCTCGTATTGTGATAAAACAACGGTACATAGAGTCATCGAATTTTGAATAACGTAATCCTCCAACGAATATGAGCATGTGGAAGACCAAATTTGAAATTTGAAATTTGTTTTATGATCGATTTCCTATTTTTTAAAACTTTGACGAATTTTTGATTAACAAACTCAAGGATTTCAAAGCGAGCAATGGCAACGTTGTGCAGAAAAACATTTTTATCTCCAGCGCGTGAGTCTCTGTATCGGAAATTCTAAAGATATGCTCGTTTTAAAACTATTTTGCGATATTGCTGTTGCCCTGGATCTTATGGTTTAAGTGCGAGGAACATGATATTTAATAAAGAAAGGTAACACACAAAATGTTAAAAAACGCCCCTTTGGACGTAATTTAAAATCTGAAACATTTCAGATTTTTTTTTTTTTTTTTTTTTTTTTTTAATATATTGTACATCACCAGTATGTTACATAAATGCTGTATCTGAACTTTGTCTGAATACGACGTTTAAGGAACGGAGAGTCATTGTAACATCATTTCGTATTTATTCGCATTTACGTGAACTCCTATCATATACTCGGAATTAGTGTTGATCCTGAATGACGAAATGGGAACTTTTCTCACCTACCACATAGTAAGAAGCTGAAATGTAAGGATTTAAAAAAAAATTCTCATCAAAACAAAACGTTAAATAGGACATAACCTAAAAAATAACAGTGAGCTCTCTCTTTCTCTCTGTTGTTTTAAATTACCTAATTCCGGACGATTTTTGTCATCTGTGGAAATGGTCGTCTTTAAGAATATGCCTGTAGGCCTGTAGGTATGTTGATTTGCATAATGGATCAGGGATTTTGAAGTTTATTAAGGATAAATGCTAAGTAAAAGTACGGTATATTCGTTTATTAATACAGCCATATCAACAAAATTACATATCGAATAATGTAGGGAAGGGAAATTTAACAGAAATGAATCCTGTACTTGATTTTATGGAATGCTGTAAATATAATATTTTAAACACAGTACCCTTATGTTGTTAGCATATTCCGTTTGCGGAAAAATCGCATTCCGCAAAGCTAACTGAATGGGTTAGGTATAATTCGGATTAAGAAATATGTCTGTGTTTCCATAAAATTTATAAACAAATTCTAAAAATGACAAAAATAAACAGTTTATTTATTTTCATTCTAAAACATATATATTGACATGAAACAAAGATATAAAAACTTGCTTTTATTATTTTTTATAAACTAACTCGATACGGGGATTTTTTCTCCGCAAATCGTTAATTACTTTACCAAAAAAAAAATCGCTTTTCGTTTATTCCATCAAATTATTTGAATTGAAAGCAATGCTAGTGATGACAGTCTTTCCTCTGACTGAGCGCTCCTTGCGAATGTACGAATTCGCTACAGTGTTGAAAAAATGTGCTCAGCAGATACACTGATAGACGAAACGGTAAAAATTAAAAATATTAAATTATATAATTCTTTTAGTACATCTTTATTTAGATTGTCATTAATTATAATCTGATTTAAATCTTAAAACAATTCAGTTACTCAAACAACTTACTGCGAGAGTTAGCGAATATAATCAGGGGAAGCGTTATACCGGGGGGAATGCGGTCAGGCTTTTATTTACCTGTTAAAAATTTAATTTCAGTTAATGAATATAAAATATTCTCATTCTGGTATTTATCAACATCTCCTAGATTTGTTTCTAGTTTAATTCATAAAATACATAAAAACAGTAATGTAATTTAAGTAAATGTATATGTATATTTCAAATTTTGAAAGGAGAGGGAGGGGAATGATCATTTAGCAATGGTGAAAAGGGTGCATGAGGTAAAAACGTTTGAGAACCACTGCATTATACGATATTAAGGTGTGCAGCATCCACGAGATAAACCATGGAGGAGTCGGTACGCATGCCCAAATGCGTATAATCTGGCTACTTTACACCACGAAAATATTCTTACCGTGGAAATTATCAGTGCTTCCATAGGGGATATGCATATATGAATTAGCCAATCACTGCGAAAATCTGCATGTTATCATAGGGTGAACGTCCTACCTACATTCTTTGCATCTAATTTATACCTTTTCTTTGTTTTTTTTCTCTTCAAATAAACTATTTGCATGTGTAATGCATTACGTTTTGTCCACAAAAACAATATAAATATTCTGAAAAAGATAATCACGGAATATGTATTTATTATTTATATTTTAGAAAATACAAGTCAAGTTCCACAGCTTGCATGGAGTGCATGCCACTGTCGCTACTACTACTTTCACTATCCGCCGGTGTGATTAAGATCATCCAATTCTTCATTCGTCATTTCTCCAGTAATTCTTTGATTTCTCCATCAGCCATGTGGGTGCTACTTTGGTAGACGGTTGCACGGATTTTGGCGATTTTTTTTGGCAAGCGATACGACTTATGGTAAACCCGTTGCTAGACAAGTTGTTTATGGTAACCGATACTTTGTTGTCATTTTATTTATAAAATAATGCGTTTTTATTATGCATAAATTCCGTGTTTTAAATATTATTTATGATTTCAAAGTAATAAAAATGAATTTAATTTTGCATTTTTATTTGAAATAAAAATTTTATTGTTTATGATATTTTATGGAATTTTATGTTGTGAATGATGTAAAGAATGACGTCACATTATTTTAAAAGTAATTGGTTTTATTAATATCTATAAATTTAATCTAATGTTTTAAACATTATTTATGGCTGTTAAATATTAAAATACAATTTAATTTTGCATTTTTTTAAAATGTGATTTTATTATGAATGATTATTTAAATAATTTTAATTCTATGCGTGATGTAATCAGCTCCCTGATTGGTTACTGAATATTTGTGCATTACCGCTCCATTTTAAAATTTTATTATTCATCTCTTCGAATTCCTCAGATTTCAAAGCGAATGCATGTGTCCGTTTCGAATATAAATGTTGTTATTGGTAATTACCAAGAATTATTGGTATCGGAATAAAAAATTGCCGTTTGAGGCCTTATTTTAGTCAACATGGCTTTCCTAATCAAAGATTTATTTATAAATTGTTAATAGCGTCAGAGAAAATTTATTTTAAATTTTTGGAGAAAACATGGCTAATTGCTTCTTCAATGAAGTGTAAGAGACGTGGATCATACAGATGAAGATCGTTAGCGGAACGGTTTTTTTTTTTTTTTTTTTTTTTTTTTTTTTGTGGTACTTAACAATATAAGACAGGTTAAAAAATATAAGTACATAATTTTCTTTTACTTTAATTGTATGCTTCAATTTTTATTAAAAAATTAATACAATTTTAAAATTTTAAATTCCTGAGATATTTAATTTAAAAAAATTCCTGAGATATTTATTGCCGCATATGTTTTAATGTTAAATAATCAAATCCTATAAAACTTATTTTAAAGTATTTAAGTAGTATTTTAATTCTTTTAAACGTTGGTATAATGTTTTCAATTCGATATTCAATTTAAGTAATATTTTAATCCAATTAAATGTTGCGCAATGTTTTTATAGCGGTGTTTTTATTCTATTATATGAAAGTAATAATTTAACCTTACTTTAGCATTTTATAGTCTTAGTAAATGTATTTATTTACATTTGCCAGCCATCTTAAAAAACAACGTTTTCAACCAAAAATTAATCCATTATTTTTAACGATATTTATTTTTTTTTAAGTTTCGAATACTTTACTATATGCGTAAAATACGTAAAAACAGCATTTTTCAAGATGGCTGACGACTGTAAAAACCGCGCCAACAATTGCCCCAATGTAAATCGCCAAAAATCCGTGCAACCGTCTACCAAAGTAGCACCGCCATGTGATATGGCCATGCGATATAGCGGCGATCTGCTATATCGCCGCCAACTGTGTTTGCATCCCCTTAATTGCTCGAAACAGTGTTTTATCCATAGATAACGAATTGCTCATTTATAAATCCATTCTGCTTCCATTACTCTGTTATGCATGCCCTGTTTGGGCTTATGCTTGCAATAAATATAGAGGAAAACTTCAAATTGGCCAGAATATTATGCTCAAACAAATTGCAAATGCTCCTTGGTATATTAGGAATAAGTGCATTCATGAGGAACTTCGAGTATATATGCTAAGATCCTTCTATTATAAAATAGCGAAAAAGTTTCATGTAAAACAAAGTACCTTAGCTATTAACCAGCTATTAAAATAGCTACATATGATTACAATAAACTTGATAACAAAGACAGGCCATTGGCCATTTTAAACATCTGGATTATGTAATTGTAATATGTTACCCATGTGTCTTTATATATTGTATTACTGTATATATTCATCTTCATATGCTATTTAACACATATTTTTTATACTTACCATCTGTGTTCCCATTCTTTTTAATTTTGCTCCCTATATTGCATTACTTGGCACCAAGATACTCACACTTTTCTTTCTATGTATTGACATGTTTTACTTTCAGGGCACACTCACCAGCTCGACTGCTTTCTGACCTGCTGATAAACAAAATTCAAAGATTAATCTTTGATCTTATACAGTCTTTCCATTCACTTTAAATTTCTTATTAAAAAAATAAAAAAAAAACCTTACACATAAATATATATATACTCAATACTTGAGTTTTTTTGGTTAACCTCAATGTAATTCGCAAAGTCTTAATTATTCTACATGGGGTAGTGCCTTGGCACAGGTACCCAGGTGTTCAGAAGCACCATTCCACTGGGAGACTGTTTTTGCAATTTAAACGATTTCTTTGCTTTATTTTCAATAAATGGAATCCTTTAAAAAATATTGATATCTTCTGTCAGCAAACATTCAGTGTTGGTGAATAAACGTTGAACCTCACATAGATGAAATTCTAGCGCTGGATAAATTAAATGGAAACGTTCCGTTTATTCGTATTCGGTAAGACTTTACTGTATGGAAAACAAATAATATACATAAAAAAAAAAAAAAAAATCCTATTTAGGTCAACAAAGAAAAAATTTATTTTAGTTAACTTTTTATCAACATTATTAGCATTTTTTTGTTTCTAATTTATGAAGCTGATGGTGGTCTATAATTTCTCATTCTATCCATGTCTTGTAATGCTGCATTATTGCAAGGAACCTTTCCAGTGAGTTTCGAGGAGTCCAATTCTTCAATTAATATTCCATCTAATGATTTCACACGACTCAAGGCGATAAATACTTGACCTACTGCCAAGGCTTTCGTCCTAGATATACTACTGCATAATCTAAGGTGCTATTTATTTATTTTAATAAGCAAGGGACATTTTAAAGGGTTATATTTTAAACATATATTATTATCACGTCAACTCAGAAATATAGGGAGAATTTCCGCTACATAATGGGACATGACATCCTCTTCATCCAGCTCTATAAAACTATACTTCTTTAATTCCATACACTTTAGAAATCTTTAGAACTCTGTCTTACTGTTGCCACTTATTTTTGTTAAATATTACAATCCTATTCATCACAGTCATGTTCTATTATTTAAAAGTTGTTATAAAATTAATTTTTACAGCACGTGAGAATTCCTAATTAACGGTCATTATTTGCAAATATATATAAAAAAAAAAAAAAAAAAAAAAAAAAACAGAATACTTTTGTGCCATTTATTTTTGTTAAATATTACAATCCCATTTATCATAGTCATGTTCTATTATTTAAAAGTTGTTATAAAATTAATTTTTACAGCACGTAAGAATTCCTAATAAACGGTCATTATTTGAAAATATATATAAAAAAACATACCTTTAATTCCGATAAACAGGAATAAATAAGTAGGAATTGAATTTAATATGTGAAAAAACTGTATTAACATTAAGTGTTATCCACTACTAGTTTAAAAAAATGTATTTGAGCTTGAGTTGATGAATAAAAAGTATCTTATTAACGATTTAAAATTTGAACAAGATATAGGGAGAGTGTGAGCTAATAGTAGGAATTTAATAATAAAAATATTATGCATAAAGAAGAAAATAATTACAAAACCTAGCTTTATATGAATTATGTTTACTAATTTCAAAAACACTCACTGCTTTCCAAACTATTTATCTATTGTTGATATAAATTATTCAATGTTATGCTAAAGCATATTATAGGCTTTTATTTATTTATTTATTATTTTTTTTTTAACATGTTGTAAATTTCTGTAAATATTTGAGCCAATTTTAGTTCTGAGTGATTTCATAGAAACTGCCGTTCAATGAGTTAATAAGTGAATGGCGTTTTAAAGTTTACTCTCTGGGTGATAACGGTAATCTGCAATATTTCTTGTGTGTTTAGGAGAATTTGTCTATTAATGTATATTCTCCTTCATGTATATTAGTTAGTTTTGCTGTGTAATTTAATTATTGCAATAAATTTCCAATTTCCTCCTGTTCATTTAAAGTAATTTTTTGGAGAAATTTCATCTCAACGTATGAGTATTTCAACATTATTTTTGAAACAGAATATACAAATTACAATAGTTATTCAATATTATAAGCATTATACATATAACTTAGCATTTTTGGGAGCATACTGTATTATTAAAAGCCCATTTTTAAACGTAGTTTTCTTAATATTTCATCAATTATCCAATATTTTTTGGAAGCACATTATATGAATAATTACATATTAATTACACTCAACATATTTCGGAAACAAACAGCATTCAGATAAACTCGTTATTAAGAGATGGGAAGATATTATTCTGTACAGAAGTACGTAATACATGCAGTCGTAGATTAGTGAAGAAAAGAGCCCATCTTGCCAGAACTTTTACAACCCCTCACCTTAAGACTCATATGTTTGCCGCTAAAAGAAGTTAATTACCTATTTGAGGTTTCCGTTGGAACACGGGAGCCCTCGCGATTGGGAAATTTTCTATCCTATAAATTATCCGCCATTGAATATGTGATATAGAAACATTGAATTTAATAAATTAGTACAGTAATGGCTAAGTTTTTATAAAAGTCATTATGCTAGCTCTAACATAAATCACAAGAATGAGATCTAAAATTAATTACATTAATTTGGGATATTAAACGAAATTCATTATTAAGAAGTGAAAAATTGTATGCTGTATTGCTTGTAAATCACACAGTTAGTTAAGTGATTTATTGTAACATTAAAATGTAATTTATAAATGTAAGTATATTTTTAATTCCTGATATAAACTGAAATTTTTACCACCTCAGATGGCAACACCTTTTAGAATTGGCAAACTGCCAAACTGCATGGATACTAAAGTAAAAGATTTCATGCTTTTTGGAACGTCTAAATTTGTCATTCTACATGAAATTTAAATGTCCAGGTAGTGTAATGTAATGAAGTGTGAAAAATGTATGAACTACCGTGCAGAATGCTTTTAATGTCTAACCAGTATGTGATTATGTACAGTGTGCTGTCAGTGAGGCTGAATTCTCTCTTTCAGATTTTATCATTCCACCATTTTGATTTACACATAAGAAGA